GGGGTGTTTTGTGTTGTGCGCACCCCACCCCCCCTCCCCTTTCATTCTTTCCCCTGTAAAAAGCAAAACAAACTTCTGGCCGAGGTGTGACCTTAAAAGTACATTGTGCCCCCCCTTCCCCCACCCCATCCTGCGGGGCTGCGGCAAGGTGGGGGCGCGTTAAAGTCGCCGGGCAGCGCCTGGGCTGGGATGGAGGGATCCAGGGATGGAAAACCGGAGTTTCCCGAGGGGTTGCCAACGCCACCTGCTGTTCCTTTCTCCCCGAGCCTGACGGGGGCTGTCCCTTGCATTTCCAGCACCCAAGGTCTGCGATGCTTGCAAAAACAAAAATGAAGATGATAATGACATCGTGGAAAACCTCTGCAAAAATGACTTTGGTAAGTGGAAGCAGAGTCCCCCCTCGGTTGAAAGCTGAGGATCAGGTAAAACACCCCGTAGAGTCAGTGAGAGATGTGCCTGAATAAAGTCAGGGCTTTGTCTTATCTGCACATGGACCCATCCAACCGTGGGGTCATGAAACACAAAATTCCACCTTGGAGTAAAAAGTAGCCTTTTTTATAGTCCATTTCTGTTTGCTGTTTCAAAGTAATGCTCTTTTATGTGGATGTTGCTGGCAAGCCAAATACAAAGTAAAATGAAAAAAAAATCTTTCATCCAGACTGTTGCCTGGGGAGAAGTAGAGCAAAGCTTCATTTAGACATATGAGAAAGAGCTGCATGACCAATCTCACATATTGTAAGAAGGACTCTCTCTGCAGATTAAGAATGAAGCTCTATATATCATTCGACAGAGAAGGTAATGCACAGACAATTGGGGATATAAACTTAATGAGAAGATATGGGGTTAGAAGAGGACAAGAAAGCCCCTTCGACTCAGACAGCTGAACGGCACATTATCCACACATTAGCATTTCAAGAGAAAAAGGGAATAAGGAGGGGAATCATTTTATAATAGGTCAGTGTTTATACCTGGAAGCAGATTTGTAGTATAAATATATAGAACAGTTCAGAAGTCTTTCTTCAGGGGGAAAAAAAATAAAACCAAACCAACACAACATGACTGTGGGACATACTTGCTAAAACAAGCAATACCTCTGGCCTGGCAAATTACACTTGAATAAATCCTTCTAAAACTAAACATGCCTCACAGATTCTTACAGAGCCCTGTATCCCCCTCCTAGTTATTTTACTAAATCGAATGCAGCTGTTCAACCAATTTGCCCTCCATGGGATCTATTCTTTCAAAAACACAATGCATGTGAAATATCATTTCCTTACAGGTTTGCCTAAAATCCTCTCCAGCCTAATAAATTAACTTTAGAAGTTTTCAGCCGCAGCAGAGATCAGGTTTCAGATTAGGTCAAGGTACTCGCCTCCCCACCTCCGCCTTCAAACTCTAGTTTCTGTCCTGTCCTGGCAAAAAAAATGGAGCTCTGCGTAATGTAGCAAACCTGCTCTCTGTTTGCAAACAGGAGAAGAGCGGGAGAAAATATTGATTTTATAAAGGAAGGAAAAAGAGGGGGAGGGGGAAGAGGAGAAAAGAAACCCAAAAAACCTCAACCCTTAAGGTTGATTCAAACTGAAATGACTTGCATGCCCTTTGTGGCTTTAGAAATGGAGCCACCTGCTGCCTCTTCTGTCAGCCCTGACAGTTTAATTAGCAATAGAGCACCTCCCTCCCCAGGTCCTCTTTATGTGCACTAATGGGAAAAAAACGCTCAATCTCTCTCCCTCTCCCCACTTCCCCCTCCCCTCGCTCTATTAGCCTTGAAGATAAAAGTGAAGGAGATTGCCTACATCAATGGAGATACCAAGATCACCCCCGAAACAAAGAGCAAAACCATCTACAAGCTGAATGGGCTGACGGAAAGGGATCTGAGGAAGATCGTGCTCTGGCTCAAAGGTGGCCTCCAGTGTACCTGCGATGAGATGAATGACATCAACGTGCCCTACTTGGTGATGGGGCAAAAGCAAGCCGGGGAACTGGTGATCACCTCGCTGAAGCGGTGGCAGAAGGGGCAGCGGGCTTTCAAGCGGTTCTCCCGCAGCATCCGCAAACTGCAGTGGTAGTGGCTTTGTTTAGCCTTAGGCTACGGAAATAACCCGCCTCCCGCAGCCGCCTCTGTCCCGACCTCTCCGGGCCTCCCGCACCTTCTTGCTTTGGCCCCTCTAAGCCTCGAGATGCCACGGGCACACTACACAGCAACCACTCCCCGAGAGGGGGAGGGAGCCCTCCATTTTTGTACATAGGTTAAAATGTAATAAAATTTAAAAAAAAAAATCATGACTATTTTTGGGAAGTATTAAAGTATCTCGCTTAAAGCTTGGTTGGTTTTTTTTTTTTTTACAGTTGCAAATGTGACTTTGGTCTGAGGTTTTTCCCTCTTTGTTTTGGTAATGCTGGTTCATTTATATTGCTGCTTCTCTGTGTACATGCATGTTTGTTGTGCAAAAGTAGGAGATGCAGAGAAAGACAGCCACGTGTGCGACTGGCCTGTCACAGTGGCTATGATTCTTTCACCAAGGTGAAATGGCTTGCCATCTATATTACCTATAAAGGTCACGTTACAACTCTTGTATGTGATATATAGGCATCAGTAAGAGTCTGTTAACCATTCTCACATTTTATTTTCCACAACTCTGAGCCCTTCTCTCAGAAAAAAAAAAAAAAGAACAAGTTTTGGAGCTGGTTGATCTGAATGCAACTTTTTTTTATTATTATTTTGCAAATTAAACCATCTGTAGCCTAACTGTAATATATCTAGTGGTTAACCTGAAAGAGTTGTAAAATATTGCTTTAATTAACCTTGTAAATACTCCAGATAAATGTTATATTCTTGTATATAAACTTTACATCATAGTTTACCTGTTGTCTCAGTCTGTATTCACTTTAATCTGTTTTGGGAGAACTGGGAGAAAGCTTTCCAACCGGGCTTTGTCATGGCAAAGCAAAATTTGGCCTTCCACCCCAAGTGGCCTGTAGAGGAGCATGAGGGCTGCAATCAGAAAAAAAAAAAGCGTAGTGGACCTCATTTCCCCAAAGATGAACCTGTGAGACACAGGACTGAGGTTCAGTCAACTTATTTTCATACGTGTCTGTTGCACTCTTGAAGATGAAGAGTTTTCTGTGGCTCTGTTGTTCGACTGCCTGCATTTTCAACTCATCTTCTCAGAACACTCTGCTCTTTACTGATGTGGAATTGCAGTGAGACCACTTGCTTAAAAATCAAATCCATTTATCCATTTCTTACACTTGAATAAGACGTATTAAGGGGTGCAACAATAGACAGAAAAATCTCATTTGCCACTAGCAATTCAGAATAATGGTAGAGTATGGCGTGTTTTCTGTGTATGTACACTCACTACTCTTACCAAGAAAGAAAATAAAACCTACCTAATAGTGTAACTAGAAGAATGTTTTTCAGCATCTTTCTTGCAAATGTTTTCTGATGAAGAGCATTACCTGCTAGAATTTTGTTGTACTCATCCTGAAAAATGTTCTTGCTTCTAGTGCTGTCACACATAAAAAAAATTCCCCTTACCTTCACTGAGAGGATGAGCAAGTCAAGAGCAGTCCTCACAAATGTCCTCAAAAGCATAACAATTTTTTTAAAAGAGCACCAAACAACCAAACAATAAGCCCCATTCCAAACTCGCTCTTAACTGTTTTATGAAACAGTATCTTAAAATAAAGACAAATACATCGCTGAAATTTCATTAAAACTTTTCTTCTGAGCAGACCTGGCTTCCCAGGAAACAGATGTGAGTCTTTTCATGCTGTGACATAATTATTTCAATACCCACACATCATCTTACAGAGCCATCAGCATTCAGATGTCGCACTGTTCTATCCATCTTGTTCAGCATATAATGTAATACCTGTCACTGAGCAGCCTGGGTTTTAGAAGGAACAAGCTCACAGATAAAGAGGAGCTGGCTGGAGATGAGCCTGCAGCAAAAGGGCTTGTGCTGCCTGGTGGATGAAGGCTCTTGGAAGAGGCAGTCATTGCAACGAAGTCTCTGGGGACCAAAGACAAACATCCAGGACTGCTCCACTCAGCCAGTCTTACAGATACTAAGTCCTCCCACAGCTACCATAAAATTATCTTAATTGGGCTGGCCTGGAAGGCAGCAGCACTGATGCTGATGAGGACAGACAGGTCACAAGTTACTAACTCTGGGGTCATGTTAAGGCCAAGACTGCATAGCAGATTTTTGCCAAATCACTTACATGTATGAAGACATATTACCTATGACCAGCACCACTCTGTCTTAAAAAAAAAAAAAGCCAACAAACCAAAGCAAAAGCACTCCCCTTCCTCCACCACAAAACAAACACCGTTACACTAGCAAAATCCTGTTTCTCTCAGGATAAATTCAGGAGAAGAAGAATAAACTAGACTGACAAATGTTCAATTTTATTAGTGTAATCGGCATCCTGGATTAAGAGCATCCTGCCATACAGCACACCCCTACCGATAAAGCCTTTTACATGCGGCCCTGGGCTGAATCGCTGGGGCTATCCACCCTCAGGGTGAATTGATAGAAGCAGGATTACCTTTCAGATAAACAGGATTTAGGCAAATGGGAAGAGTAATGGGACTCAGGTTTTCCCAGTTTAGATCCATTACCTTGTTCCAGCAATATCGTATTAAAAGATGGGTCATATTCACCTCACCAAGGAGAGGGAGTGTCAGTGTTTTACTGTTTCCAAAAGAGTATAAGCCAGATGTTGCAAAGTATTCAACTGAAAATTAGTATTTTAAAGTCATAGCCTGAGGAAACTTCATCTCTTAAATGGTGGCAAAGAAGTAAACATATATATTTTTCACATTTTTACCCTTACTCTTACTTGCTCAGCAATAACAGAAAAGCTTCAACAGTACCAGGCAAATAGCATTTAACAAAAAATTATCAGAGCCTGATCCTTCAGATCATCGTGTAACATATACTTCACAGTAACATCATTACCTGTTATGGTATGGTTCAATTCTAGCAGAATTTTCTTTGCAATTGATGAAAAAAGGCAACCCACTGTTGCATTTTTTAGACACTTTTTGTCTTCTTCTAATCAAAACAACATTGTTAGGCAGCCAATTATGTAGCTCCCATTGTATTTGCTTTCATAAAAACTGTAAAAGTGGTTGACTACAATGGATTAGTTTAAGAACAATAATAATGATACTTGACATTTATGCAGAAGTTTCCATTTAAGTTTCTCAGGCTGCCTTCACAAAAATAGACATTAATATCCCTATTTTGCAGATCAGAATATGAGGCACAGTGAAGTGGAATAACTCATTCAAAACCACCCAGCAAGTCCTTTACAGTCATGAAAAACAGCATATTTTTTTTGCCTCCAAGTTTTGTTCTCTAATCACTAGCCTACAGCAATCAAAATAGTGTATAATCAAGGCAGGACTTCGATTATAATTTGAAAGCATAACAGCAACCAAGGCTCCTTCTGACTCCTTCTTCCTCCTGATTGTGTAAAAAAAATGACTGGCCAAAATCAAATTTAAAACCTGTCAGCAATACTCCTCACAGTCTTTTACTTTCTTCCTTATTTATCGTTCTCTCTATCCTTTAATTACTTCTTAATCCTTTCTTGTCTCCCCTCACTTCTCATTCACTTCAGACACCCACAGAGAAGCCACTCAGCCTGTCTCTCACCCGTCTCATAGACACTTTTGCCCTCGGTATGGTTTATTAAGGAATTCATGCTGTATAACTACAGACAAGCCACAAAAATCCTAATGACCAGCTTAAGACATAAAAAGACGCATGCGGGAAATTCAGCAAGAGGGATTTAGATTTAATTAATTATTTTCTGTGAGGGCAGTTAGATGCCACCAGGAGCACCACAGACACACACTAGTTGCCTCAGGCATGGCTACTATTCCTTTTCTGCAGCAGGAGAATATAAAAGTGTTTAAAGAATATAGCAAGCATGAAGAAGACATAGAAAAAGGATGCACTTTCTCTTGCATGGCCAGATGTCCCGCAGATCTCAGGCCTGTTGATATAACCCTGCATTCCCTCACTGGGGCATTTCTTCCAGTCTTCTTCCACATGTTTCAATACCTCTCCTCAACCATGGAGGACATCAGCCAAGATCAGAGCCATGTGAGTCAAGAAAGAACCACCTCATCGTGCCCTGGATGCTTGCTGGGACACGAGCAAGCCCTATGCAGCAGGCAAGGCAGCTCCTTTTTTGCCGCTTTTATGGCCCATTGCTACCTTCACCAAACCTACCAGCCCTGTGAGCCCTTGCAATGTGCCCACAAGTTGGCAACACCGGAGGAAGGGTGATGGATTGATTGCTGCCAGAGAATTAGGCAGCCTTCCTTAGGTCGGACAGCCCAGGCTTTTGTTATTGGAGCCAGAAGTTCTTACTTCTCGGCTTCAGAGACATGCCTGTATGATTTATCTAGAAGTGGCTTTCTTATCAGCAGATGTAGATTCTGTACAGCCTGACTGTCTGATGAAACAACCACAGGAATGGATCTTGCTTGCCTCTTTACAAAGAGGAGAGTGCAAGCTAGTCACATCACAGGAATCCAAGACCCCAAGCTGTCTTACAAACATAAATTAACCCACACTATATCACTTTGGGGTGAGTTTAAGAGAGGAACATTTTCCAAATGCATCAACCCCCTTCAGGGTGAGCCGTGGGCTTCTAAATCACGTAGATGCCTTGGAAAATATTAGCCGCTATCCCCCACTGGAGTTAAAGCCAGTTGGCCAAGGTCAGCCAGCAGGTCTGTCACCCAGCCAGGAGGAACACCTCAGCAATCAGCCAGCCAGCCCATTGCTCTGGTGACTGATTAAAATAACCTTCTGATTCAGAAAGCTGTACTGCAAAGCAGCTGATGGAGCAAACTTCAAAACCAATTACTGCATGCACAGAGAAACTGTCCGGCCAGAAAGACCAGCACAAGTTAGTTGGTATGCTCAGTGTCTTACAGAGTAGATGTAGCAAAGAGCAAATATACCTTTTAAGCACCAAAATAAGGCAACACTATTAGTGCAGCTCTTTCAAAACCCAAGTGCTGCGGATCATCCTTTTGGAGTAATTTTCAGTCCACAAAAATGATGCTGAAATCAAGGACAATTTTCTGTTTGAACACCACAGGTTGCCATCAGAGGCACAGCCAAAACTAGCAGCAGATTTAGGAGTGATCCGAAAGGGTAGCAGAAATGCTAATTTAAGCACACTTTCAACTTTCTAGATCTTTGTTTTTAGAGCTTAACCCTGGCAGTCTTCATCAGACATTAAACTTTCCATATGGAGCCACTATGGAAGGACAATTTAAGAG